AAATTTTTATTTTTATTAATTTTGTATTATAAACAAAATTGTAATTTATATCTATTTAAATAATCAATAAAAGCTTGCTGGTTGGTCTTCGAAATTTTGAATTAAGTGGCTAGGGGTAGTCAGAGGCATGAAAAAATTTAAATTTTCAGTAATTTTTGTTTGCTATTAAATCATGTTATTTTACAATACAAAAGTAGTATATGGCTATATTATACAATGTTTTGACTTGAAGTCACGAAAATTTCAAAAAAAAACTAAAAATTTTAATTTCCAAAGTTATAGCAGTCTGTGTCTTTATGACAATCATAAGTCCTTGGAGATTCATCTAAAATCAATCGGATGAAAAAAATTAGTTTTATAAATAGATAATCCTCAGAAATTTTTTTTCTAGATTTTTAAGAAAAATCATTAGTTGGTCTTAAAAAATCGAAATTTTTGAAAAAAATCCTTCGATCAGGCCCGAGTTTAGAATACATAATAAAGATGTATAAATTTCATTAAAATGTACTGAGTGGTTTTCGAGTTACAGTTGTCAAAAACGTGCAGCTGCCGCTAGCTACCTGTTCCCGAGCGCTTTCAAGTGCCCGATCGCTTTTTGTTATTTGTCGAATAACTCAAAAAGTAATTATCGATTTAATCAACTTCTATTTTCAAGATATTACACTAAACGAAAATGCAAAAAAAAAAATGGATTTTTTCAAAATTCTGACTACCCCTAACCCCTTAAAAAACGCATATTACATTGTTGAAAAAATCAATACAAATTTTTATATAAGGAAAAAAAATTTATTTACTTCATAACTAGATTTGATTACAACGAGTTTTATTAATATTTGTATTACATACATATTTGCGTTAAACCCAATTTGATCTAAGATTTTTTTTTTTCAAAACAGCAATGCAATTTTCAATTAAAGTTGTCAAGTCAAAACATTTGTCATAAAAATATAAATTTTTCTTGCAAACCAACTCACGCATACCTACACACACCCACAAATGCTCTTGCCACTTTGTATGATAATTACGCGCAATTACGCTTTGATTATTCGGCTACTCCAAGCCATGAAACCGCATGAAATCCAATTCGAATGCACCAATTAAATGCCAAAGCCATAAAATGCCTAAAAATGTTGAAATGCAACAACACAAACACACACGGAGACACTGCAATGCATGTGTGTGTGTGTTTGGTAACACCTGATAGCTGCTTACAGTTAAACAGTTGTATTTTTCCGCAAACGTCGATATCCGCTGATGGTGCGATGCTAAAGAGCGATTAAATGTAGCCATCAGTAGCGGCGAACATCACCAACAGCCACCAGCCAACAGTTGCCTACCAATTTGGTTGAGAGTCACACACGCGACTGGAAGATACGAGCACCTTGATACAAACTGCCGATACGCTGGCTGTGACTATATATGCACATGTGCGTATGTGCGTACAGTATTTTCCATTTAGCTGACGATCGATGGCATAATGAAGCGTAACGACCGTGTAAACCGGTAGCTGTTCGATAGTGAAGAAACACATTTGACCAGTCGCGCTCTACACACCACATAAACATACATATATATGTACATACCATATACCATATAAATATGCATACGACATAGTTAGTCGCAGGTCACAAATAGCACGCAGCAGTGGCGAGTGTAACTGGTGGATGGTGGCAATTGGTGGCGAGCACAAGTAGGCTTGTTCTTAATTTGAATATTTTCACCTTTTACTTTGTGAATTTGTACTTCGCTGCGTTGTTGTTTTCGATTTTTTTATTTATGGAAAAAACCATATGGACTATATATAAAGTAGCTTAGAGATATAAATATATATTTATTTATGTTATCATAATTATTATTGTTTTTAATATTATATGATTATTTTAATTTTACAAAACTTAACCCCGGCTAAGACTTGGAAGAGATAACATACTTAGATAATAGATTACATATGCTAGAAAAGATATCATTGAAGAGACAATTGATAAAATTAACCACAATTGCAGTCCTGCACTTTAGTTGATGGTTTTGATCCCTGTGTGTTGATCAAACTTATCGAGAGTAGAGTCAAACCCATAACAAAAACTCCATCAGGTTCGAAGTAACAAAGTTCGCCTCTCTACGGTGATCGTTTCGCTTTGAAGTACTTCGTGCGACGCCCCTTGATCTCGTTGACCCAACTGTGAAATTCATATAAATATTTTTCAATTCCATAATGAAATTTGAATATTTGAAGAGATCATTTGTCTCAAAAGCAAAGTGCTGTTTTTAGTGTTCGACAACTCCAGCGCTTGAACGTTGAAACCTTTTTGGTTGAATCGGTCTTATTAAAAACACAATACGAGACAAAATTTAAAATCGCATCTCTTGGCTCTCATCCATGGATAAAAATTGTGGGTCAAACCCATTACGAAAATTCTTTTAAGCTTGCAGTGCGTTGCTCTTCGGCGTTCGTTCCATCCTATAATACAACGGTCGACTTCGATCGATCTCGAGGACTTTACCTCACTTAAATGCATACAGCGTGTTGATATTTTTCTAAATTCACCAAATAATGAAATCTGAAATTTTGAGCTGGTAGGCAATTTTACCACAAAAGCAAAGAGCTGCTTTTATTGTTGGATAACTCAATGGTCTCAATCTTAAACCTTATTCCAGGTGAAATACAAGATTGTTCCAGTTTTTGAAAGGGTTGTGCCGACAAAAGTCTGAGAGTCTACTCAACTGCTATCGGGATATCTAACTATAGTCTTCATCACTGTTTTTTGCTGGACGGCATGATGTTAACCGAGGCTACTTTAATGTAGAAAATTGGCAACTCTGGTCGCAACTAACAATTCAAAGGAAAAATTCGTACTAAATATTATCTCTAAATATAAATATGAATGATAAACAATTTCTATTTTTACACTTAATTTTGATGGAGCATCGAAGGTGTAATGGCGCCAACCAAACTACTCATAGTGGGATTAAAACTGATGGATGAGCGGGTATTTCAAACAACAAAAATTAAAATAGACTATGACAATATGTTAAGCAAACAGTGATACATTAATATTTGGTGCAAAATTATTAAAAATATTATAAATAGTGAGATTTCTAAAAACGTCCAAGAACTGTTATATAGGCATGAATTATGATATCTATGTACATATGTACATATATATATATATATAGAGCTTGGGAAATATGTATTTTACGTTAATAACTTATCGAATGTCGCTGTATTAATGATAAGCAGTAAGTGTGTGTACATTAGAGCGGGTCGATTTCTTTTCTACAAAATCGTGTATGCAGGAAATGATCTACGGCTCATTCTGAACAACTTTGCATAAGAGAATTTGGGTCTAAAATCGGTTTAAAGTCAGCGATTTTTTAGTTAGAGTTTAATTTTTCGGGATTTTACAAATTTCTTCGTCAGTTTTTGAGATATCCGAATAAAATGTAATACATAGATGCATGGAATCGGACAACTATATCACATATCTTCTATACAAACGACATTTTTCTTGCCGCTTCGAGTTTTTAATTGAAATTTATGATACAATTCATTAATTGGAACATATTTTTCGAATGCATGATCAATTTTAAAATAATTTATAAAAATACACTTAAAACTTTTCCGTTTCTTTTTTGCTCCCTGTAAATCAACCCGCTCTGATGTACATATACGAGTATCTGCAATCTATAATTTTATATTATATTTGTAAGGAAACCCCCATTTCTTTGTTACGTACATACATATATACATATGTGAACATGAATTTAATAGCGCTTAAGTACTATATTAAGCGCAAATTTATATTCTGCCGGGATCCCGAAAATTACAAATTGAAGTATAATAACAAGCGCAAATTTGTATTTCGAATGCCTAGTCCAAACTTTTATTTTCTTTTTCACACAAATTTTCGGAATTCAAAAATCGGGATCCCGAAATTTACAAATTGAAGTATTATAATAAACGCTAATTTCTATTCCGAATACCCAGTTCTAACTTATATTGTCTTTTCGCAAAAATTTTCGTGAGTCGTGAATCGGGACCCCGAAATTTACAAATTGGTTTACGATTTCCACAATTTATTGTGCTAGCCTTCCATATTATCAAGATTATATACAAAGAACCCCAAAGCTAAAGAATTTAGTACTCTCTATACTTTCGGGATTAACCATATTATAATAGTATCTCTCAATTTCTTACCCTAGTTTATAATATAATTGGAATTACACACTTTGTTGTTTTACTTATTTGAAGCGATATTATTGAATTGATGTATTTAGTTCCATATATTAGTGGCCCTAATAACTTTTAAAGGTTAAATTCTAAATCAACCGGATTGGATAATGCTCTGTGAAACTCATCGCGCGTTGCACTAGAACTAAAATTTAAAAATCCCGAAATTTCGGGATTGGTAATATTTTTCGGGATTGAAGGACTACATATACATTTTATATTTAAAAGTACGTGTGGCAATTTTACTTTCATAATATCTTAAATTTGTGCGACGAAAAGCTCACTTAGAAATTTACAATTGCTTAATATAATAATCTTCTTTATTATTAATCCTCAATTCTTGTAACATAGAAACCAACAACCTTTATTGCCAAATGTACAAATAAGTATACGTATTGACATACATACGACCATATCTTCAAATGTTGCCATTCAACATTCCACACTTTCTTAAATTCCATAGATTTTTTGTTTGTTGACCATTTACGTCAAAATACCGGTAAAAATTCCTTATTTATTGATTTCTTAGTTTATTTATATTCTCTTTTTTTTGACAACTCAAATAGAAAAAAATTACTTTTGATTAACTAAAACAATATGCAGAAACATGCGTGCTTTCATACGGATGTATGTATGTACATGTACATTAGGGTGGGTTATTTGGCATAAATTATATATATTGATGTTTGTAATTGCCATATATAGTATATATTATATTTAATAGTATATTTAGAACAGTTATTCACATTATATATGCATATTTTTTTTTCAGATTAAAAATAATGCATATGAAAATTTCACTACGATTGATTAAACTAATTTTTGAAAAGAAGAAAATTTCGGTTCCATCATCACAATCATTAATACCTATGTAAGTACTCATACATGCATTTACTTTTCTGTACATAATATANTTAGTGTGTTACCCAAATATTTCTATCTCACATTGTGAAGTGATGACCGAAATCGTATGACAACCACGCCTACATCCCTTATAACCTTCTAAATTCCATCTGATTTTAACACTTTACAGTAAACAAATAAAATATCAGAGAAGTTATCTGAAAAAAACTTTGCACAAGTGCCTTCAAGGTAGTTCATGTAACGCCCAAAAATTGTCGATGTCGGACTATAACTTTTCAAGGTCACAGATATCAAATCTGTGGACCCCAGTGCATATGGATAATTTTTTACCGAACATTACGGTAAATGTGTGAAATCTATTATCTAAAATTATCGAAGTGTATATTCTTGCCTGTGATTGTAAATAATGGATGCAGTACTTCCTACTAACAATTAAGATAACTATGTACGAAAATCCAATATGTCATTTTACCTTGCGAGTGTATAAAATGTTCGGTTGCACCCGAACTTAGCTCTTCTTTACTTTTTTTTATACCCTGAACATGTCCTTTTTTCCCTAAGAAATTGCTCATTTGTCTTTTTCTTTTAGTTTTTGTTTTACGATTGTTTTACTTATTTTTATATTTTTTGTAAATGTTTTTGTAAACTTTTTTTTTTTGAAATTTATTTTTTCATTTTAAAATTATTTGTTTTTAGCTTTCTTTTGAATTGTAAATTTGTGTTGTTATATTTTTAAAAATTATTTTTACTTTAAATTTTTTTACTGTTTATGCTCAAGTTTTTACTTTTTTCGGGTTTCGCCGAAATGTGCTCATTCCTTCCCGTTGGAAATCCCGCTTAAAGCTCGAAAAAACTTTACTGTTACTTTATTTAGGCACGTGTCGTATAACAATTTATAAGATTAAAAAATCTTTGAAAGTTCATTTTTGAACGAAACCGGTTGTGCGGGCAAATTTTAACATAAAATGAAATATTTCCTTTAAGTTTGTTTCGATGATTTTTTTNTTTTTCTATAAAACAATACTTTCGCTTTATTGTGTTGTGCATTAGCTCGTGAGAATGCAAAGTTCAAATTGGTAAATAAATTAAAAACAAGAAAATAAACAAACCCTCCCCAAAGAAAAAAAATTAAATAAAAATGTAAAAATAATACTAACAAATAACATTAAAATTTAATTTTTCTTCTCAAAAAGCCAACATAAATTATAGTCACAAAAGTTTCTTATCATTTCTGCCAAGTAGGATTAGTAATTACTAGTTTATTTGGTTGACTTAGTAATATTTTAAATAACCTTTAAATTTTTCCTCCAAACAGACGCAACAGAAGTAGTTCTCTCGTTTCTTTTAACCGTTCCATAAGACATCATTTCAAAAAATTGTCAAAATACCCTTATACCTTGTTAATATCTTTCATAGGCCCGTACTTTGTATCAGCGGATCAGTTCTTTAAACTTAAAAATATGTCAAGCCCAAAAAGCAATAACATTTGAAACTGTAAGATTTATGAGTCAATGTCGTTCGACATTTCTAAACTCTACAATTTCTAAAATTATTTGTCCTTTTCGGCAGAAAGGAAAACCAAACACTGTATAATTTCGATATATCTTACCTTGTTAGGTAATTTTCAATACAATTTTTGATCGAAATTGGTGCAAAGTGTGTCAATGTGGGTCCAGTTGAGCGATCCTCCAAAGTTGAATCAAAGTGCTTTCAAGTCGCTCTTAAAGTTAAAAAGTATTGACGTTCTATATGACGAATACTTTAGCTCAAATTAAACTGAACCTCCATCTGGTTTTACTAAGGACTAGTAGGTCTATGTATGTTATGACGTGACAACCGGCCGGTATAACCTAACCTAGAATTCATTTACTTTTCCTTCTCTTTATATAACGTGACTAACATAAACCTTAATCTAGGCATAGGTTTGTTAAAAGCGAAAGTAAGATATCGGAATATTACCAGAAAGGCCTTAAAGGATCTGAAGGAGAGCTTCATTTTCTATCATTCACTCCTGATCCAAATAATTTCATAAACAAAAAAATTATTGATATTGTTCAGCGATGCTTCGCAACAGTATCAATAATGTGATTAAGCTAAGAGTAAAATGTTAGAACTGGCCCAGTATTTATATATAATATTACTTGCCTGACAAGATTCACAGTAAATTGCAACTCTATGAATAATCTACTTCACAGTCAACTGCGGAAAATGAGACGGTAAAGCAAAATGAAAAGAAAAGTAATTAAAAAGGGTCGGATGAAGAAGAGTATTATGTTATGAGGAAATTAGGAGAAACGGGAAGACAAGGAGTTCTACCAAATCCACATAGATATCATTATGTAAGCGGTGAAAATATTCTTTTAAGTTTCCTTGTTTAAAAACTAAGTAAATTCTAAATAACATTTGGCGCTACTTAGATGAGGTGACGGAATTCTAAAGTACTTCGTAATAATTTTTCAGAACTAAGTGGTATTACTTTGGCCAGAATTTGTTTCGGACGATGATCAGTAGAAAAGAAAATGGTTAAAGAAAGTGAGATGGAAATGATGAAACAGCAAAACGAAAAACTAAAGTATGAAAGTAGCCATAAAGAGTAGGAGAAAAAGGAAAGTTTGCAAAAAATGAAAATGCAAAGGAAGCCAACTAAATTCGGTCACACTAATACGTGTAGATCCACGCATGGGTTCTAAGCGTAAACACTTATACAAATATTGACTAAATGAATCGTTGTGGGTAAAGTTGTCGAAGGATTCCATTTTTAACGAAATGGTATGGTATAAATGGTTGAGTCAAGGACCTTGGGATGCAGCTGAAAGTCTCGCATCTAATTCTTAAATGACGTTATTTGCAGCAGTGGAAGACGTGAATATCTCGACTCATAAAACAGCTTACTACAACCTGTAATATGACTTTTAATACAAAAATATTTCACCGTTAATTTGCGCTGGTTAAATAATAGTGATACGCGTATATAATTGGAATATTTATAGAACTTTTCATGTTAATAATATATTATGTAAGTATATACATATCCACATATATATATTATATATCAATTAAGTGATTTGTGAATTTCTACAACCATATTAATAAATTTATTTCATTTTTATCTTTTATTTTGAGTATAAATTACAAATGTTTAGCTCAGTCGCGTGTGTCAATAATAATTGCGAGAATATCTCTGTGACAATATATATACAGTTATACAATTACAATTGTTAAGTGTATGCGTATGTCTGTTTTTAAAACTGGGTCGTTTCGATTTCATTTTGTGCTATTTTTAAACAATTGTAATACAAGTAAAATTAGTTTTGACATTGATAACTCGCTGGATTGTATATAAATACTTGACAAAATTAGAAATAATTACAACATGCATGCAAATACAATTGTTTTACATTTATTTAAATGAGCAAGTGGGCTTATTAAGGTCTTCAATGTGTTGTTTGTTGCAATATGTGTCTAACATATAATCAAAACAACTTTTACAGGAACAAATTTGTTGTTGTTGTTTAACTATGAGAGATTCTGACAGCTTTCAAATCTTATAAACAATTATAACATTATAACAAGAAAAAACGTTCGGTTGTGCCGGAGCTATAATACCCTTCAACTCGAATAAAGCTTTTATATTTTAATTAATTGTTATATTTATTAAATGGATGTTTAGAGACTGTACCGTTGTCTTGGACAGTAATCTATGCCAAATTTTGTGAAGACATCTTGTCAAATAAAAAAGATTTGCTTATATATGGCAGCTATATGCTATATTGGTCCAATCAGAACAATTTATTTGCAGATTGTACCGTTACCTTAGGCAATAATCCGTGCCAGATTTCATGAAGATATCTCGTCAAATAAAATAATTTTCCATACAAGAACTTAATTTTAATCATTAAGTTCGTATGGCAGCTATATGGTATGGTGATCCGATCTGAATGATTTCTTTGAAGATTGCACTACTGCTTTTGGCAATAATCCATGACAAATTTTGTTAAGATATCTTCTCAAATAAAAACGTTTCCCATACAAGCACTTGATTTCAATTGGTCAGCTTGTATGGCAGCTATATGCTATGGTGGCTATATATGCTATATGCGATATCGGCGGTTTCGACAAATTAACAACTTCTCGAGGAGAAAAGTACGTTTGCAAAATTTCAAATGTAAATCTCAAAAAGTCTCGCGTATGTACAGACGGACAGATCTACAGATAGACGGATATGGCTAAATCCACTCAGCTCGTCACACTGCTTATTTATATATAACGTTTCCTATTGCGTGTTACAAAATTCGTGGCAAACTTATTATTATTGACTAATTCCATACAATATAAATTAATTTCAACACAATAGGTGGCAACACTGGACAAAAATTATATTTAAAAATATTTTTTTTGGCGTACCCTATAAATATAACATTAAATGTTCTTTCATATAAAAAATATATTAACTAATTTCTAATAAGTGGCAATCCAATTAGTTTTCTTAATTTGCAATAAACTTTCCATAATTTTGTAACATTTGCAATCAAATACTAACTATCAATAACTAGTAATTATTAAATTTTTTAGTGTTGGCAAAGTTACTTCAATAAGGTGGCATTGCCTTGATTAAAGATTTAATTAGCTCACAGTTCACAATGTTATTTCTTCAAATATTTAATTTATTTATGCAAATATTGCTGGTACAGCTCGTCACCACTTTTTTTTTTGCAATTTTCCCTTGTTGTTGTTCATTTGTTGCCTCTTTTCTAAATAATTAACTTTTATCCCACACGGCTTGTGCGCATGTGACCTTTGACAATTCCATTTGAGTTAGGGTTTTACCACTAATTAAAAGTTACGTTATGCACGCAAACTGCACACACACACACAGACAGACCCCAACACACAAAAGCGATGTTACGTGAAACTTGTTTTTTTATCATCGCATTCAGACACATTGCCAGCCATTCGCCATTCGTTGGCTGCGCGCGCATGCATAATCGCCGCGCCGCTCCGCTTAAG